ACATGCATAGATGATGGTACTCACCTCCCCACATACATAGATGATGGTCTCACCCTCCCTCCCCATGTACATGGATGATGGTACTCACTCCTCCCCCACACACACATAGATGGTACCCACCCCTCCACATGCATAGATGATGGTAGTCAGACACACACACACACACACACACACACACACACACACGTGGATGATGGTACTCACCCACACACAGACATGGAGGCATGCTAACATCATCACTCAGTACAAAGGGAATTCATTGCAAATTGTGTCTCTTCTTCCCATCCTCCAGCCCTCAGTTCTCTTCCTCAAGGGCATCTGCTGTCCCCAGTCTCCTGTGGATCCTTCCAGACAGAGTCTAGCCATGTATCTGTGCCTGTTTCCCCCTTTGTTCCTCTTTGGACCTGCTGGGAAGCCACCAGGATGTGAAGTGACAGGGCCCCAGGGCTACTGAGACTCAACAGTTTGTTGAACTAGCCAAAGCTTACCTACTCCCCCTCCACACTGCTTTGCCACTTCTCCCCTTGAGGACTCTCCTTGTATTAGATCTGTGGGTGTCAAGAGTCTGGGCACCGAGAATAAACCTCAAGGGCATGTTCTGGATGCAGATGATATAGGCACAAGACAGACTTGGGCTCAAATCCTAGCCATGTGACCTCGGGCAAGTCAATGAGCCCTAGTATTTTAGTCTATAAAAAGGAGGTCATTACGCCTGTCTCAAGGGATTGATGTAGAGAAGAAATTAAAAATATTTGTGAAGTGCCTTGAGTAGGTAGGCGCTTAAAAATGTCAGTTTTTTTCCACTTTTAAGGAGTGACCCATTTTCAGGATGAATGACACTGGCCTGGAATCCTCTGGATGGCTTTCTGGAAATCCTCTCAGTGGGTTCCTGAGTGTTTATTTCCCTGGAGAAGGCAGCCAGTTCTCCATTTTCTCCCAAGTTGACCTCCCCACCACCACCTCCTCCTGCGCCTGGGGAGCCCAGCCCCTGCCTCTCAGCACCACCTCCTCCTCTGTCCCTCCACCCCCAGCCCTCCCTCCCCCCTTGGTGAGCAGGATGCTGCCAGCGCCTGAGAGGGCTCTGGGCTGTTTATGGCTGTTCTCTGCCTGTGTTTATGTTGTAATCTCTTCAGAAGCTCCTAGCAGATGTCTGTTTATTGCTGAAACTTCGTCTTTATCTTCAGCATGAGAGAAGAGAGAGGCTATGTTTAAAGATCTTTAATTGGCATGGCTGCACAATACAGCCTAGATTGCCTCCAGGTTCATTCTTCATCGCTCCTGCTCTCTACCTATTTTGAAACTCTTTAAATCCAGGCTGAGAGACCTCATATGTCCTGATCTCAGAGCGGCACTGAAATTTGGCAGGCAGTTGTAATGGCTTAAAAAGGTAGGTCAGGGAAGCAGAGGCAACCAGGTGACTGAATTTTTCTAGCTAGGCCAGATGGCGTGAATGAGAGTAGCATCTCTGTGTCCATAGAAACCGACACTTTTCCCCGCTTCTGCCCCTTCTGTCCACCTGCGTGCTGCCTGCTGATTGGCTGGGAGGTCTTGAGCATTTCCTCCCCTCTGGACTCGGACTCGGACTGGGGCTCAAGGTGAGACTGGAGTGGAACTAGGGTAGTTCCAAAGGATCCTGCCCTCCCGGGAGGGGGAAGGCAGAGGGCATGGGTCACAGACCTTGGGATGTCAGATTGAAAGGGCCCTCTGGTTCTCCCTCCTGCCACCTTGCTTTTTACCTGTGGGCAAACTGAGGCTCAGAGGCTTCGTGATGCTGAGCCGAGGCCAGCGAGGTGCAGTTCCTTGCTCAAGGTCACCCAGCCAGGTCAGAGTCAAGTCTGTTCTCCATGCTCCATTTCTGAGGCTGTGATCCATCTCGGCAGCGTTACTTGAAGCTGGCCTTCTCTTTTGAAGGAC